CAAGATCGATATGGGCTACAAGTACTTGTAGCCCATATCGATCTTGTAACACTCATATAATTATTTCTTGAAAAAATCGTGGGGCGAAAAGTGCCCTTAACGCCACCTGTCCTTTTTACATTAAATTGAGCCTAGTCAAGCCTTTATCTGTACTGGTTCGAGCCTACCCAAGCCTTTACCTCTCCAACCTAGGGTAGGCTCGTGCCTACCCAGGCCTCGTGGCTCCGCCGCCTATGCTTGTAAACCTCAATGATGAAAAGAAAGAAGAACTAACTCTTCATATTAGAGGTAGGTTTCGAATAATACCTAAAATGTGGGAATTGCTTTTATGTTCATGGCAAAGTTGTCTCTTGTTTGTAATCATCTAAAGCCACTCCTTGACTAATTATGTCTGCAAAAAATGTGAGCAAAGGATATATCATGACTACTATTGAAATCAAAAGCCAATCCGTATCGAATAAAACCATGCCCATCATACCCATATGTTGATTCAAATAATCTGCGCATATTTCTAGTCGAACGAGTCTTTCTGCATTCAAACAAGATGATCATGTTCTATTCGCGTGTGTTGGTGGTCCTCACATTGATGGTGCTTACCTTCTATGCAGACTTTGCCACTTCTAAAAGAAGAAAGTCGCATATAGATTTCGCAACTCTTTCCGTAAATGGACAAAAGAAAGTTTGCTGGGATGTCAAGCTTCGCGTCAACTCGATTCAAGATAGCCGGTGTCCAACAAATGTACAATGTATTTGGGCTGGACAAGCGAAGGTGCAACTGCTTCTTTTGAAAAAGACGGCTTCGAGTACTGTGAATCTGATTATCGGTGCATAAGCTAAAAAAAGTGCTCAAGTCACTTTGGATACCACTGCGTACAGTATTACCCTTCGAGACGTTGTCCCGTATCCTGGAACGAATAACAAGCCATCCAAAACCGTTCTTCAAGTCACGTGTCCATAGAATTTTGCTGGGAGTACATATAAACAGTGTGACATGTGTTGTTTTTCTTAATATTTTAACGAAATATACATGAAATTTATCTATACCTCATGCGTGAGCTGGAGTAATTAAACACAAAGCTAGTACCTTCCATGAATAGAGTTTGATGCTGTTATAACTTGAGGCATTCATTTTCCGATATTGTGGTAATTGATCGAATGATTTTGGACCTACATAGCATATTGTTGCTTTCTTTTCTGAAGGCCTACACGGATAGCTCCTAGAGTCTCACTTCTTGAGCTGATAACGAATTTTGTGTGCATCTTCTATTCATCATTATCTTCAATAACTCTTTGAACTATTTTTGTCGCTAAGCAACTCATAATGGTTTCCTAGTTGTATGTGAACGGTACAGAGTAGTAAGAAACAGAACTGCATGATAGATATTATTTAGGGTGTAGGTGTGAGTGAGAGTGTGGGTGTGTCGGAGTAGGTGTGGGTGTGGGTGTTGACGAAGAGAAGACTAATGCTCACATCCACACCCACACCCTCCTAGGTGGTAGAACTTAAGAGGCTCTATCACCTGCAGAAATATCACAGCGATTGGTTGTTGGCGCATAAAATGCGGTTGAGTGATATTTTAGTCACAAAACACAGAAAAAAGGATGAGAAAAGTATTTTTTTTGATATTTCAGAAGTACTTATAGGATTGACAAAAACTTCTGAATTTTTGTATGCAAAAAGACAATACCTTAATAGTTATAGTTAGAAAAACGAGAAGTCAAAAGTCTCAAAAATTGAAAGGGGAAAATCACTTTTACTGAAGAAGATCAGCTGAAGTCGGTTAAAAAATAATTAAGAAAATCACATTAAAAATTCCGTTAGTGTATCGATTGTTTGTATAGGAAAACATGATCAGATAGAGCTGAAAATTTCAGAGAATACCAAACTCACTACAGTCTGTAACATATAAAAAGAACCAGCGAACTCTGAAACGTCACTCCATCGTCAATGTCTGAGTCTCTCAGAAACTTACTCTTAAGATCGAGATAATGAAAGAGTGGGTGTGGGTGTAGGTGTGAGTATGGCTATGATTGAAACGTCACGCAAACCCACACCCTTAACGAAGAAAATGATAATGAAAAAATAAAAAATAAATAAAGATCTATTTAATAATAAATATGACAATCATTTATTTATTTATGTTAAACAAATAATCTAAAATATTATCAATCCATAAAACCATTTTTTTCCCAAATATATTTTGTGTCATTTCGTTTCACTTTATCATTAAATATCATTATCACTAATTTAAAAAACTATAAGTAACCTTTAATGCAGATGATCAACCCTAATATGTCTTGACTTATATATTTACATGTTAACATTTATAATGATGAAATAATTACATCAAACAATAATCATTGTCTTATCCTAACTTTCCATTGTTCAATATAATTTGTAAACAGTCTCATTAATAGATATTTTTATTTTTATTTTTATGAATAATTAACAAAAAAAAAGAATTTTTTATTATTATACCAAGTTTAAAATAATACTATTATTAGAATTGCCTTGTTCAAACGACATATATGATTAATTTCTTATTGTTGCTCTTTGATCGATTTGATATATTGCTTCTTTTTTATTTCTATTTGTTGCTTGATGATTCGGATGCATTGAACCAGTTTCTTGTAATCTAATATGCCATGAAAGAGCTTGTTTAAGATCATGTGGTGTATGTAAACCAAATGCAATCTTTATACGTTGGATGAGCACATTTTTCAATTATTAATTGAGTTCGTTCTTTTGGACTTTTAGCACGTAAATCAGCTAAACCTTGTTCACTAACCATTATTTGAACTAAATGTTCATTATGATCAACATGTGATACCATTGGAACAAATGCAGAAAATTTTTCCACCTTTAGCAATTGATGGAGTCATAAATATTGACCTATACTATCAATATAGATATATACTTCGAATAAATCAATATTAGTAAAAAAATAAAATATATGTATATAAAATTCTTACAGCATTTCTAGTAAAATCTCCATTTTCACCAATACCATTCGTCATTGCGATTTAACGAACATGTCTTGAATTAACATTTCTATATATATCAGCTTCTAATACTGTATTCATTGTAATGAGACCTATTCAACGAATAACTTCAGGATTATTTGATATTTCCATAGAACGTAAAATAAATTTCGATTTAAGATCATGTAATTCTCTATGAAATCTTTTTTGTCCATCTGATGAAAAAGTTAATGTTGTTGTTGATGCAAAACGAAGTGTATCACTATCAAGTAATTCAAATATTGAATCTTGTATTACTTCTGTATACATTTCAATGGATTAACAAATTTTGTTATTAAATAAATAAAATAAATAATGACCTGAAGATGAATCATATTTATTAGTTAAAACAATTCCTTTTATTCTTTTAGGATTAACACGAACATCTGGTGTACCTTTAAATAAATTATATTTATTTATTAAATAGTTAACAATAATAATGAAAAAATAATTTATTTATATTCTTGACTAAAAAACAATGTCTTATTCTAGTTGGAAAAATTTCAAATGAATTATAAAGATTTTTCTGCAATGTAAATCAAACAAAAATAGAAAAACAAGTTTTGAAATTTCAATGAAAAATTTGATCGATGAATAAATCGAATTTTTGTTTAAAATATTTAAAAATCTTCATCAAACGATGAAAATCTATTTAATTGTTAAATTATTTTTTCGTAAAAACCATCAAATGAGTTTATATCATTGACTGTATTCATTTCTAAAATAGAGTGTCGTAGCGATCGTGAAACATTTCTAGATTGAATGCGATAAAAATAGCAAACTTCTTCTTCTACCAAGGATAGTTTTCATTTTTAATCATTCTTAAATATATATATAGACTTGATTATATATAACTAAACTAATAGTAATAATAACATATTTAACAAAAAAAATAGGAATCGAATGAAAATGAGAAGAAGAAGAAGAGATCATCTATGTAATGCTAGAAGAAATGTAATCATAGTTGTATAATTTATAACTATGATTTAGACATAAGAAATCTTTCTAAACGTATCTTTGAATACTTTAGAATCAATTAACAGTAGATACGATATAAAAGTTGATTTGTAGATATTGAATTAATATAAACTTAAATCAATAATGATATTAACACACGCATGATAATCATTTGCTAGATAAAACTTTCATAAAATGCATATAGATTTACAAAAAAAAAAAAATAATTAACTAAACAACATAATCATATGTTACACATAAGATAAAGAATTTTTTTTTATTATTTTATCATATGAAAATAATTAACAATAAATCGATAGATTTACATATTCATTCATTCATTTTTGTCTTACACTACACCGTTTAATACTCAAGATTCAAGTCTCTATTATTATAAATACTTTTTCTAGTAGACTGATATGAAATTGATTTTGATGAAAAAGAATCTTGTTAGAAAAGGTTACTACCTATGACATTTAATCATAAAAGATCAATGTAACCCTACGATCCTCATATTAAGAATTAGCCTAAGAAATTGTGCATACACTCAAAGATGTTATTTATGAACAAATGATTGATCATTGTCAGAAATTTTCTCATAAGAACGACGAAATGATGAATAAAAAAAAAGCTATATTATTTATCAAAGATCAGATCTGTCATATATAGAATGTTTAGATAAAAATATCTAACGTTTATCTTCTATTTAATATGTTACAATGACATATAAACGAAATGTATATTTTTATTTTTTTTTTGCTAAAAAAAAATCAACTTACTAATTCTGTCATCAACATAATCAATATTAATTGATCTTTCTGTATATAATTCAGGTAAATAGTTATCATGAAGATTTTTCATATCTAATGAATGTGCTTCATTTAATTCAATATAAATATCTTTAGCTAAAGCTAAATAAGTACCACTCATTCCATTTGAATTAGTTTAAATAAATTCTTCCATCTGATGTAACATCACAAGTTTCAACAATAGCAACATCAATTGATGAAAATATTTCTTCTCTTATATATCTACTAACATGACATAAATGTATATCAATAAAATTAACTTTTCCTTGATTAATTAATTTTCTTAAATCTGAATGTGATTGATAAGGAATTTTTAATTTTAATCGTTCTATACATGCTAAAACTCTATCAAGTTCGTCACCAATTGATGCACCAGTATATAAATTAATTGAAAATTTTTCAGAATTTTTAATTCTTTATGAAAATACACAGGGTATTACTTTTGGATAACCAGATGCTCCTATTGTTACTTTTTCAGGTAAGTTTTCTGTAATATCTTCAACTGACATTAATTTTGATTTTTTTTTAAATAAATCTCTTTTTATTACTTTATATTGTTGTTGTTTTTTGTGTCGATTTATTGGAATGTTAATTTAAGTTGTTAATTAATGAATAAATTAATTGTATTATTTGATGTATCTTGTTTATAAGATGAACATTGATTAATCAAAAATAAAAATATTCTTAATAATTACTGAAAAATATCAAATCGAAAAATCAGTAGAAATTAATCAATAAATAATTAAAAATATATAATTTATAGAAAAAGAAATAAAATTTTACTAAAATTCGAACTTATCGTATGCATTCAAATCATTGCATCAGAAAAGACTAATAACAAAAAACAAAAAGAGAATAGTATCACGCATATATGCATAGTTAATCCAGCTGATTTATTTGACCAAATTAATGTAATTGAATAAAGAAAGAGAATGATGAAGTATAAAGTTCATTCTTTGTTTATTCAAGTACATTGATATGATCAAATAAATCAGCTGTATTGAGGTATATATATGTGATATCTTTTCTGAGGTATCAGTTTGAACGCGCACCGACAGTTCGAAATAATAAAAAAACAAAAAAAGTTTGAATTTGAATTAAACGTTCAAATGTATTTTCTGTTACTTCGATATAAATTTATTTATTATGAAATATGTCTGATGTTAAAAATAATTCTTCATAATAGAATGATCAATTCTTTATTGTCAACATTTAGAGAAGATTGACAGTTAAACTAACGTTTAAAATAATAGTTTTATCTTATGTAGATAATTAACTTTAATACAGACGAATTTGATTAAATTCGATAAAAATTTAATTCTAATAGCTCCTTCATATCTTTGAATATTTAAATAACTATGTTAAAAATATCGATTTTAATACAAAAAAAAATCATTCTTACAAAAAACATCGAAGAAAATATATAAAAATTCTTATTGTGTTTAGTTTCTTATACGATCTTCATATAATAACAATTATAAATTCAAGAGTGAATTCGTTAGTTCTCCATGAACTATCATAGACTGAATCGATCTTTCAACAAGTCTTAATGTGCTAGAAGATTTGACTCATCGATTAATTTATTCAAAAAAATTTAATCTAATCGTTTAATTAGCTAAAATGTATCAACATGACAAACGAGTATATCTATACAACGCTAAACAAAAAACAAAGACACTTAGATTCTCAAGTTCATCGTTTCGATCGAATAACAAAATCTAAATAGCATTTTTATACAAGATTATCTTGAATTGATTTCAACCTATCATTGTTCATATCTATTTATTTATTTAACTCGAGTCGAAGAGATTTTCGATTTAGCCATGAAGAATTTTTTAGATTATTTTAAAAAATATTTCTAAGAAAAACTTTGATCGGTCACTTTAATTTAGTTAGATCAATTAAGAAACTAAAAATTTTCTTGCAAAATAATTTGTCTATATTTAAAATAATTTTCGTTGATTATTAAAATAAAAAAAAAAAAGAAACATTTCGTATTGAATTCATCTAAGAAATGAATTATTGATAAACTCCATCTATACACACGTATTCATTTTAATTGGTTATCAAATAAACAAAAGAAGTTCAAATTTTACATGATCAATCATTGAATTATTTAAGAAATCAGGTTAGTTCGAAAAATATAATTCATTTATTAAATAAATAAATAAGATTCTTCAGATTTGTTTACATTCTATTTGTTTTTTGTTCACTTCATCAGACAAATTTTTCATTTTAAAATTCAAATAGTTAAACTTGAATACTATTATTATTAATAAAGCCAATTTCAAAAATTGTGATTGACATTGATTATTTTCTTTCTAAATGATAGATAATTAGTTGAAGAAGTCGAATTAAAAATAATCTTTTCTATGGTTTAATTATATCTTTAGAGTATTCAACAATATTGATAGAGTTCTCTATCATTCTTTGCCAGATTTCGTCTTATAATCAGAGAAAATTTCTTTTCATTTAGAAACCGAAATGAATTCAGAAATTTTTCAAATGTCAACTTTTGATTTATACTCTAAAACAAGTTTGATATAAAAATCTAATAGAAAATTAATTCTCGAAAAATTTTTCTATTAAATATTTTTATTCTTTTAAAAAATTCCTATTATTATTTATTCTTCTCTTCATAAATCTATATTCAGTCGAAACAATTTACATGACGTAGATCTGAATCAGAGATGTCCATGGCGGCGCTATCGTGGTGGCGGTAGCATTATTTTTGAAGGACATTTTAAAACTGTGAATTTATAGAATTTCTATGTTTTTTTAGACGAAATAGCTTGCGACTGAATGAATCTAATGGGCACATGCCAATATTTTTGGTTAAATACAGTCGTAGCAGTGAAATTCAACACGGTGTTTTGAAAACCATCGCGGCAGTGGTGCGACAACTATTTTTAATAATTCGCCGCGGTAGCTTTTCTTCATTCTGAGGCTGCGACAGGTTTTCAACCGCGATGGACATCTCTGGTTTATAATTAAAAAATGAAAGGTCTTTGTTTTTCAAAGAGTGTAATCTGTTTATGTTCTCTTGTAAAATAAATTTGAAATGTAAAATAGAATAAGTATTTAAAATAATTTAGATTTAATTGGAATAAATGTATTCAATAGAAAAATTACCAAATGAAATAATTTATCGTATATATGATTATATTGATGTTTGTTCAATAATTAATTTGAGTTATACATCTAGAATATTTTATTATTGTCGAAATAATTATAATTCATATAAAATTAATTTTGAATCAATATCAAAAGTATATTTTGATTTAATTTGTCGTATTATTTATCCTGAAAATATCATATCATTAAAATTATTTGATAATGATAATACACCTGGACAAATAAAATCATTTATTAAAAATTTTCAAATAAATAAATTAAAACGATTAAAATATTTAAAATTAATTAAAATAAATGAAAACGATTTAGAATCTATATTAAAACATATAATAAATAATCGATTAAATTATCTTGAAATTGAATATCGACAATATTTTACAATATTAAATCAATCAACAATATTTATTCTACAAAATATATTATCATATAAAACTCTTCAAGAAGTTAATTTAGATATGAGATTTTATCAAAATGATTTTATTCAATGGCCACAATCAACTCATATTCAATATTTAACTTTATTTAATTCAAATATATATCAATTTAATCAAATTATTGAAAAACAAAATCAATTTAAATCAATAATACTTAAGAATTTTACAATGAAATATTTCAATGATATATTATTTAAAAAAAATTCATTAAAACAATTAAAATCATTTAAAATTGAAGAAAGTGAATTATTTATGGAAAAAATTCAATTGATTATTTCATTAATGAGTGAACTTATTTATCTTAAATTAGAAGGATATACAAATATAATTGAAAATATTTTTCGAAATAATGAGTTAGAAGAATTTTTTCAAACAAAATTAATTCATTTAAAAACATTTGAATTTTTTATTCGTTTTTCACCAAAAAATGAATTTTTAAGAGATAATTTAATAGTTGATTCATTTATAAAACAATTTCAAAGATCTTATTGGATATCAAATTTAAATTGTTTTATAAATTGTGATTTAATTAGAAATTCAAATGAAATTCATTTATATTCAATACCATCTATATTTAATTATTTCAAATATTCAGATCAAATTAATATGATTTCATATTCAACTTCATCTTCAACAAATTATTTAAATGAAAGATTTCATTTTGTTTATCATTTAGAATTAAATCTTAAAGATTTAGAGATCGTATCAATGCAAATAAAGGTTCGCACTTTCATCGTATTTTGTCATTTATACTATTAATAGAACAAACAATATTTTATCAATATATAATCCTATTTACAAACTTGCTGCATCTTTTATCATTAACGCACATAAACTTGTTTCAGTTTCGTCACATATATAGATGTACATGTTTTACTTTTGCTGAGTACTATCACTGATTGACTCAGTGCTCAGTAAAGCTTATTTTAAATTTCTAAAAAGTTGATTGATAATTATTTAAAGGTCGATTCTTCTAAGAATAATAGGAAAACGAATAATTTTATGATTGACATCGAAAAGAGAAAAGACTGTTTATATATTTATGTCTTCTATGAATTTATCGTGGAAATAATTGCTAAATAATACTTATTGTTATTTTCTCTCGATTATTTGAAAAAGATATTTATCTTGTCGAATTTTTCGATTGACAAATTCAATTTTTGAAAGTTTTTCTATAAAAGTTCTTATCGAAAAATTTTAGTTGCTATTAAATTTCGTGCTCGCTCACACACCTTTTGGATTAATCAAGTCTACTGTTAGAATAATGAAAATAAATAGAAAGAATTTGATGACGAGTTGTAAAATTCTTTTATGAGAATTTAAATAATTCATTTTAATATCATTGAAGAAAATGAGAAAAGATCAAAACATTCTCTAGTAAATTAATATTTGGATAAGTTTTTAACTGGTTCAAACTTGTCTGAAACCAATTAAGTGTTATTCATGTTTAAAAAAAGAAATGTGAAAAGTCGTTTATTTGAAACTTAGAAAAAAAAATCATATTTGTTTGTTTAGAATAATGAAGAAGATAATCGATTATTTCCAAAATTAAATTATTTAAAATTAACAGTGAATGATCAATGTTCATTTGATTGTTTTAAATTACTTTCGAAATCAGTCTATTTGAAAAATTTAGAAAAACTCGTATTAATAATATGTTCTCGTGGTAGTTATCTTAATTTAATGATAAAAAATTTTTTAATTTTCTTAAAAAACTTATCAAATATTAATTCAATTGAAATATTTAATCGATGGCATGGAATTTTTTCATTTATTGATATTAATTATTTTTGTTCAATGATTCCATATAATATAAAACATCTTGATATTGATATATTTGAAATAGATCATATTGAAATTCTTATTGATAAACTTGAAAATGTATCAAGTTTTAAATTTAAATTTGCATTTGATAAATCACTTTATTTAAAACAAATTCTTCAATTGTTAGATAATAAAAAAATTAATTCAACATATATATCAGATATTCATTATTTATCGATTTGGATATCAAAACAATTTAATCGAACTAATTCTAATAAACGTATCAAATTAACAAATTAATTATTTTGTTTCTTCGAATTTTTGTTTTTCATGTTTGCAAATAAACCATTAGACTTAATAGAAAACGATTCTTATTCTACGATACTAAGATCTATTCGATACAAGAATATTTGAGAAAGGCGTTCAACAACTTAGAAAACGAATTGGAAAAGTATTGCTAACATTGAATGTGCTTTGACAATTATTTAGTAAAGAAAAACAATAGAATGCTGGAACTTGGTTGAACAAAGCAAAAATTCTCCGAGATTGTCAGTCACATTATCAATGGTGCTCTTCACTCAAGAATGCCTATGAAAAGGTATCTAAATTAGATAATAATATATAGGGATGCACAAATTCCAATTCCAACCAATTCCAATTCTAATTCTTGGCTTGGAATTGGTCTGGAATTGACTAGAATTGGCTCTAGTTACCTAAAATTCGTATGGAATCCTAGAAATTTATATGAAATTAGTTTGAAACTGGCTAGACTTGGCTTCAACTGGCTACAATTCGAAGGGCACCCTAGGAATTGGTATGGAATCGGTTTGAAAATGATGAGACTTGGCTTCAGCTGATTACAATTCGTATGGAGCTCTAGGAATTTGTGTGAAACTGACTCGAATTGGGTTGAGTTGGTTAAAATTCCTATGGAATTGCTATGAATCAGTTGAAATTGATTGAAATTGATATGGAAACTGATTGGATTGGCTACAGTTCGTATTCAACTGCTAGGAATTGGTATGAAATTCATCTGAAATCGGCTAGAACTGTTCAAAATTGCTCTACAACTGACTTACAATTGGTTATAATTAGTCATCATTGATGCCAAAGTCGACTACTGTCAACTAGCATTAATTGTAATTATCGTCAACTATACACCAAATTTGAGTTGAAATGGTAGAAAATAGTCTATGGTTTTTTTGCCGAATAGGTACATAAAAAAGTCATTTTTGCTCAAATGACTCTCTATTATTTGATAAATCTATAAATGAATTTTATTCATTTGGGTAAAAGTATCATATGTTTTTGGCTGCGCTATTAATATTCTTGGTTGAATACGGTTGAAAAACACGCTATTAGATTTTTGTATTTTGTCAAAATTATGCTGAAGTTATCTTTGTTTCGTATTCACAAAAAAAATACTTTGATGAGAGAATGACGATATTTTTCGTTTCTCAATTTATTTTACACTTTATGTGTGATAGTGTTAAGATCTGTTTATATATTTGATCCGAAATTGTATATAAATAACATGAGATGCTTTTAAAAAAAACCCATTCATCAATTTTTAGAGGATTCTAGTAAAATATATCACATAAATATGATTTCACCGAAAGTGATTTTATTGAAGGATATAATAACTTTGGTTTTACACTTATCCGAAATCTAGTATTAACAAATGAGTGACAGCAAAATCTTCAAGTTTTTTCCATTGGTCAAAAACGTCTCTATCGAGCATTTTCTGTCTCATATATATATATAGATACCCAGTGTTTCCAACAGCAGGTGCGCACAACATAAGCAAAATGTACAGAACATCTGCTATTTTTGATTTACGGAAACACTGTATATATTGGGGATGATTAACCTCCATTCTGTCTCTCCATTTTTTCTATGCTTTTATAATTTGAAGCAACAACTAGTTTGAGGGTGTGGGCGTGGGGTGTGGGTGGTGTGTGGGTGTGGGTGTGGGTACGTGGCTGTTTCTCTTCTCATCCTTCAGACCAACATACACTGCAACACCCACACCCAAAACTGCTCGAAAGTAAATAGAAAGGGTCTATTTTTCTTGTGTATGGCAACACTTTTCGTTTTCTTATCCAATGAAAGTGTGACAGAACTGTTGTAATCAATAGGGATAAAAAAATTTCGAAACGAAAGAATGGAAAATTTCTCTGTTATATATATAGCACTGCTCTTTTAAAAAAATCTATGCAAAACTCACTTTCTGACACGAGTCACATGTCTGCGTATATGCAACACAATAAAATTGGTTTACGCGACCCAACTGTCGCAGCAACTGTGCCTGACAATGATATAGCTCGACTCATGTACTACTTCGAGTCCGTCTGTTATACAATTGAATACAATGATAGTGAGGTTCAACGTTATCGTAACTATGCAGGTTGGTCATCATTATCACATGAGGAAGTTCCGTTATTGTTTGCCCTGTGTTCGACTTTTAGCCCAGATGTGTTCAATAACAAAATATTCTTCCAATCGGATGCTATGTGTGAAAACTTTAATAACCACTTTTATGAAACCACCCATGTAGCCGATTTTATGAAATAATGGACATTGCAATGCATTATTTTACAATAGAAATGCAATGGATGCAATTACATGATAATGCAACCTATTTCATGCATTATAATGCATTATTTTTAATTAATCCATTGCAATACATTGATTTATCAACGCATCATAATGCATTTTTTTTATAATAATGCATTACAATGCATTGAAAACTTCATATTTGGCACTTGCTATACAAGATTTATATAATCCTATTAAATCGATATCCTAATCACCATAATTGTATCTCTGTGGTTCTGCACATCTATCTCCTTAACTTAACCTTTTAACCTTAATCTATCTCCTTAACTTAATTCTTTAACCTTAATCTATTAACTTATCTATATCTATCCACTTAACCTTAATCTATTAACTTATCTATCCCCTTAACCTTAATCTATTAACTTATCCATCCCCTTAACCTAAATCTATTAACTTATCTATCCACTTAACCTTAATCTATGAACTTATCTATCCCCTTAACCTTAATCTATTAACTTATCTATATCTATCCCCTTAACCTTAATCCATTAACTTATCTAAATCTATCCCCTTAACCATAATCTGTTAACTTATCTATATCTATTCCCTTAACCTTAATCTATTAACTTATCTATATCTATCCCCTTTGCCCTAATCTATCTCTCGAACTTAACTTAACCCCTTAACTTTCATCAACCCTCTTATATATATCTATCCCCTAATGTATCATTTTGATCATATCAGATAAGAATCTAAAACAAAAAGACAATTAATGAATAAATAAATTTATTATTATTAAATTCGAACTTACCATTTCGATCATCATCGATATCAACCTAAAACACAGGAAAAAGAAATAGAAATAATTTTAATATTGAATTGTAACTTACCATTTCGAGCAGATCGATAAGAGCCTAAAACAAAATATAATGAATAAATAATTTTATTATTATTGAATTCAAACTTACCCCTTGGATCATGTCCAATTGTAGTTGAAACCAAGAACAGTTCAAGAACGTATATATGACATAAGACTGTTTCAATAGTATTAAAATGGTTTCAGATTTGGAAAACAAAATGATTCATTATCTAATCGGTTATACTTGATACTGTGAGCAGTTTTAGTTCACCAGATACATCCGAAACTGAGCAATAACGAAGAGGGAAAACCTCTTGAGAGGTCTAAGACTGTGATCTCTTTCATTCTACAGAATATTCTAAAAGCATTCAAAACTTTAGTAGCGTTTCGTTGCATCAAATAGAAACTCGAGATCGGATTTCGGTTCGTTGGTGCACATTTGCCCGATTGAGTAAACTCGGAAACTCTTCGGCTTGCCTTGGGAAATATTTTGGAACCTGAAAGGGTAATCTGATATACCTCATCAGATTTTGGCTCAAGTTTTCAATAGTGTAGGTTTCCTTGAATACCCTAGTGATTTCTAAAAATACGATTAGGTTTCCATTATCAGGGAAAGGGATTCGAAAAATACTCTGAGCGCTGTAACTCAGGTTACATTTTTTATTAGTTCTTTAACTTGCGCAACTCTTATTGAAAAGCACCTGATACACAGAAAGCTGCGTTAGATCAAATATCTACCTGTCAAATCACTTTTCAATATCTCTTTTACAGAAATGGTGAATTCTCTAATTTAAAAACATTACTCTAAATAATGCATTGAAATACATTGAATAATAATGCATTATCCTCAATTTCTACATTATACCTGATAATGCATTGAAATATATTGAATAATAATGCATTATCTTAAAATTCTCCATTATTTGGAATAATGCATTGTAATGCATTGAAATTTTGCTGCATTCTCAAGCCAATTTCGCATTATTAGAAATAATGCATTGAAATGCATTGGATAATAATGCATTATTGGAATTTTCTACATTATTCTAAATAATGCATTACAATGCATTGAAAATTTAGGCATTATCCTTCATTTTCAGCATTATTAGAAATAATGCATTGAAATGCATTGAAAAGTCAAAAAATAATTAATTATAATGCATTAATTCATGTTTTTCTTCAAATAATGGAAAATAATGGATCATTTTCCATTATTCATCCATTATCGGCTACATGGGCAGTCAACTTCGACATCAATTGTTGGTCGTTGAGTCGATTTTTGTCGCAGGTCTGACACGTCAAGTCAATCGAATCATGACCTATAAAGTGAATTGGATGGAAAAAAAACTACTATAGTTCAATGCGACGGCTCCGTCAGGGTTTGACTTCTCAACCAGCACAAAAATCATCGAGCTGTGTTATATTATGACACATAAGATCTGGTTTTTTTTGAAATAGAATAAATCAAATTTGAAACCAAGGAATTTTTATAAGATGTGATCGGAATATTGTCTACAATTCAGAGCAGAGTGTGGGTGTGGATGTTGATTATCTTAAACAACACCTACCCACACCACACCCGCACCCACATTCACACTCACACCCCACACCCCACATCCACCCCACACCCACCCACACCTACACCCTTCATCTCTTCTCAAGTATTTAGTGCAAAAATGAATCAGCTTACGGCTTTTTCCTTCTTCCTTTCGTGATTCCTAATTTTGATTAAGTATCTATTGTGAGAAACAGCATGAGATACTTTCATTTATTGCTTTTTTCTTTTTCCAGCTAGATATTCTGATCTCCGTTTAATAGGCGTTGTGAGAAATAGTATGAAACTTTTTCGGATTAAGTCTTTTTTCTTCTTCGTCTTTGGATC